GGCATGTGCTGGCTTACACATGTCTGTCAAACTGCGATTACTACGGGGAAGACATCAGTGTACTGATGAACGAGAGTTGTAGTATCTCTGTTGAGAAAGGGAGACTACCGGGAATGCTCCAATTATCGGAGTATCGCCCTATTCAGCCTCCGAGGAAAAGGCTACGCAAAGTTATTAGAAAGGAGGTACCGCCGAATAACTTATCACAAGATAAAAGAACAGCAGTTGTGGCTTCCGGGCTAATTGAAGCACCTCTGACCATATATTTACAGATTGTTGGGAAATCGTTGGACTTCGCCCATTTGGTAATACATGCATTTTGTATATCTTGAGAAAACCAAATACCAGACCCCGCACAACAGGTGTGGACATGCCTGCAGACATATGGATCGATGACCAGTAGATACGGGTCATATAATCACTAAAAACTTATAGCAAGTGCTGCGTCAGAGTAAATGGCGTAAACTCAAGTGGTTTCTGCTTTGACACTGGTCTTCTTTTGACCTCGTCCCCACTCCTGTTTGTATTGTTCATGGATAGAATGGTCAGGACAGTCAAGGCCATGAGTACATCAGCATAGAAGATTTGGAAACCAGAAGGTTTCTGTTTGCATATAAACTTGTTTTGTTGATATCTTCTGAAGTTGCTCTTCAGCGCTGTTTGGAAATAGAGTACCCCATCTATCTACTCTCGCATTCACTGGTTCATCCATTCCTTTGCCTGAATCATGTTTTGGCAGACCAAGTGATCGATTCGAGTAGTGAGGTCTGCCGCCCGCCCTTATGATGTAGTCCACGGTACCCGGGTATGCTCTGGACTCACAGCACATTTGATCACTGGGCTCTCCTAGTATTGTTGGAGCTCATTGATCATTGCTCTTCTCTGATGCTTGCAGAATGCGCGACGGGTTGGTACCGCGCTATGGTCCAACTGATTAGCCAATGGCACACAACCAATGATATCTTCAAATACCATTTCTGAATTTTGAATGTTCTAATGTTTCCATAAGTGTAAAGATTCAATATTTGATTTAATCTGCAGAAAAAGAGAAATTCATTGCTTAAGTCTGCTAGCAGGCAACTTTTCTTGTGGCATATGCAAAAGAGCCGGTCCGCATATGATTTTACATGCAGTGCATTGATTAATATCTCACATCATTTTATTTCCTAGAGTGATACATTTTCCTTGCTCCTCACTAATGATTTTTCCTTGGTCCTGAATTGATTATATATTTTAATTAACAACAAAATCGAGTCTCTTACACCACTCTTAAATGTCTAGAAGTTGCTTTAGCCAATGAAAACCACAGATGCCATGCAGCTGTTCAAATACAATGACATACGCTGACCCTTGCTTAATAGCTTGATAGCCATCTAGAAGTGATGTTCTTTGCCACCTGTTCTTTAAGGCAAGGAGCCCTCTACTTTGTTGTTCAACCTCGTCGCGGACCATGCTATGCGTAATAGCGTGGTCCCAAACTAAAACGAGTGACTGACCGTCAATCATCAATGCAGCTGGAGATATTGGATGATATCCATGACGTGCCATAAGTACGCTGATGACTTCGTGCTGCTGAGGGACTCAGTAAATAACCTACTGTGAAGGTGTGTGCAACGCTCATGCAGGAGTGGGGTTACAAGTCAACGCCAAGAAGAGGGATGATCACCCGTCACGACTAGTTCGAGGATATCACGCGGTGACACTGTAACAGAGGAGATGATTTTAAGTACATCGGAACTACGTTGTCCAACGAAGGTGACATTGATTCTGAGTGCAGCGGCATTTGAAATGCCATCAATGAATATTGATAAATTGATATCAAATTTGAATTACTCTGCTGATTCAGCTCCGTTAGCCTCACGTGCACTGGTAAAAGTCAACAGCAACATTGACAACAGCTTGATTATTTGTCATGTGCCAATTCATGTTATAAAATTTCGAAAACAGAGTGATAGGTTAATGAGCTAAAAAGGATAGCAAATAAGGTGTAGCTCTAACTACTGAAAATGTGCGAGATTCATCTTTCTACACTCCAGAAGATTTACTACTACGGTGACCTGTTTAAAAGCAATTTGAGCATAAGATATGGAGTTATGCTCTTATCAGCGTTTACGGTATTCTGTAAACGTTTAGCTTTATTCAAGGTCATATGTAAGTTAGCTATTCCCTAAAGTGCGTAATACAACGAACGGCTGAAATATTTTTAGGCTTGTCGGAAAGGACAACTGAAACAGCGGAAGTTGGTATCGGTGAAGCGTTTCATCTGCGGTGTTCGATACAGGGGCACGTGCACAAGGACAACAAGATCATCTGGCTGCTAGAAGGTCAAGAGTTGCAAAGCAGTCACAACTGTCGAATTCACACCAGAAAGAACAAGTACGCTTTAAGTACGTACTGCGTTAATGTGCTTGTAACTTGGAGTTTCTAACTCAGGAGGGTGTCTACTCTGAAGATCGCAAAGTGCAGTGCCGAGCACATCGGGACATATGAATGTGGCACCAGAAGTACTCGAGGCATATTAATAACCAAGAAGTTTGTCGTTAAGATGAGGCCAAGTATGTGGCGGAATTTTCGTCTACCGACTGCTAGATTGACGCAATCCCTTCGATTTCAGAATCATACAACGCCTCGCTTTACGGAGAAGTACTCTGCTCTGATGCGAAGAAAGCGTACTGCTTAAATGAAGGAATATGTCTGTACCACGTGGCAAGCGATACCTACGCGTGCAGGTATGTCGTGAGGAAAACATTGCAACATTCATTCTGAACTACTTGCTTTCCAGATGCATGCCCGAATACATTGGCATGCGTTGCGAGTACCTGGCCACTTCGGTGATTGCCAGCGTTCAGTCGAGTGACGTTAGTAAGTCTAAACATAATTCATAACATCTATTTGTTTATAAGCAATGTAGAAACAGCGCTGAAAATCAGTAGATCCTACGGCAGCATCCGAACATGAGGACCATCCTCAATCATGTGCGAGATCATTAATCCACAGTAAGGGAAGTTCGCTTCTATAATTTTTATATCCTAGATGACTATGGTAAACAAATAGGCACAAACAAAAACAACGTTAGTACCCTGGTTTACAAAACGAACTTCAGATTCTTCATCTTCTGTTCACAGGTGAATGGTTGATACTTTTTATGACCTGTATTTATCATTATGAATAATTGTACCTTTAACCATATTCTGAGTGCAAACAATTGGACAAGTCATACTCTAGATGAACTTGAGTTCAATAGAATAGGCGAATTGCAAAACTCAATTTAATATCATCTAATTCATTGCCACTTTCCGTTTCATCACAGGCTTGAGTAGTTGACAAGGAGGTTAGAGAGAATACCTCATTATACTTTGACTCAGCGTTCGATGTTGTATCACTATTGCTACGCTATGTCCATGACACGGGTGCGCGGCAGACAAAATAATTTCTGTTGTCACCACTTATCGTTATTCTCATCAATTTTTCATAATCTGCGTTGCATTTTTAACCACCGGATCTTCCTTTATGCATATTAAATTGCTCTACTATATGTCATTATATTCCTGGTTGATTTTTCCTTCTAGGGTTAGCCGAAATGCAAAAGGTATTTATTGGTCTCTTGTCAGTGATGGCTATAGCGCTGATGACACTTCTTGTCTTGTTCATTTATTGCCTGAGGAGAAAGTAAGCACCAGATCAAAGTTATTTGTATCATAGTACATATTTTCCGACAGACGCAATGCGAAAAGCTTTGTGCTGGAAAGTGGATGGCTTTCGCGGAGGTCCCATAAGAAGCATGACAACTTTGTAACCGACGAAGGATCAACGTCCTCGATCAGCAAACACGTAAGTACGTGGAAAGCTGCAAAACAAGGCAATGGATTGATATATTAATTCGGCATTTAATCTGTTGCTGGTCCCAAGTCCTTCCTTCTAGGAAAGAAGAAGGGATGGAAACCATGGAAATGTCTCGAGCAAAAATTAGTCATATGTCCCTCATGCGGTTTCCACTATCGACCGCTATGTCTGCTTGGTGGTCACCCGGCATGGCCATCAGTGACCACACAGGCTGCTGAAATCCACTTTCAGAATCTCCCTTTAGCCTTCTCGCAGGTGGGAGGAGTAGCAGCATGGCGACTGCTGCTTAAGATCGACAAAAAGGGGCGAATATATGAGCCGGCAGCAAAGCCGCTGCCCGTTCTGAACCGAGGAGGCAGACAGCGCAATGCCATTATAGCATATGAGTTGAGACTGTATCGGAATGATACGGAAAGTGGGAGCTCACAGTCGAGAAGTGGAAATATGCCCACAAAGAGGAAAAAAGTACGAATTAGCTAATGAGGCTGCAAGGTATTTACTGGACATAATTGCGACCTCATTAAAGAACCACGAGGGCTGTGAAATTCTCGACACTTTCCTCCATATCATAAAACATGCTCACGCCGTGTTACTGTTGTTTTTACACCCAACCTGGCAGATAGAATACTTTGAATACTTGGATGGAAGCCTGACTACAGAAGAGTAGCAATCCTCTGACGGAGGCTGCAACATGTTAAAGCTATCACCATGTTACAGGTCCATGTGCCAGATTTTGAGGAGGAGATGAGAAGAGGTGGAAATTCTCGGACTGAACGACCTAGCGACCTTTTCACAGGTCTTTACGCCCAGTTCGAAGTTGAAACATGAATCGTTCGTTGAGAAAGCAGACGGTGTTAGACACTGACCAGTGGGAACATGTGCTTCGAAGGAATGATCTTAGCGATCTCAGCAATATTGTTATGAAATTGTAAACAACGGACTGTCTCTTATGAAAAAAACGCCTTCTTGCACCATCGTAGCATGCATAGGGAAGCCAGTAGTGAATGTTCACATTAAGGGAGCGCAGAACTATCAATCGATTACCTCCTTGTTGCTAGCAAACATTACCGTAAGCGATGGAGCTCCATGCGAAGACACAGGATCAAGAGCAACCTGAGAATCAAACGGGAAACTTTACCGTCTGCGTATGTGAGGAAAACTTGCAAACGACATCGCAACACGGTTTCAGCAAATCCCAGCGATCTCCGCCAATGTGGAAATCGAATGAAGGCGCAGCTGCCTCTGAAACAGTTAGTTTCCATTGAATAGAAAAAATTCACATTCACATATCTTCAAAGGTAAGGATTAATTGTCGGAACATCTCCACCCATGGGGTTTACACATCGCAGCAACCTTCAAGCCATAAGAGTGTGTGTTGAAGCGGCTTGTGCTGGTTACCCAGCATGCATGAACTTTTCGCACTGCCCAAATTATGACCATCTTCCTGAGTTTTGAAGAATGTGGAGGAACCAGTTATAATTGAAGGGAATGACTTCAATGCCTTCGTACTCCGAGAAGAAAAAAGAATACACTGACATGTAAGCCTGTTAGTTTCGTTGCAGCGAGTGCAGATGTTTTTCTATTCTCTGAATTCTGAATGATGGATTTAATGCTTGACGTAAGTAGACATAGAGCAAGGCCCACATCAATCTGACTCCTGACCCATTCAGGTCACCTCAAAAGTTTCGCTATAACTTTGAATGTGACAGACTTGCTTAATTTCTTCCAGAACTTTTTTACACATGTTTAGTCAGGTATAAAGATAAATTTTTTAACAAGCATGCAACGAGGTGTCCTTCAGGAGAAACCACAAGCAAAATCAACTAACAATCCAAGTGCTCACAGCCAAAGCGATGTGAACGAGGCTCGACACGGAGGGAGTCAAACATCAATTAAGTTAATGTTATGCATTGTAGAACAAAACTGTCAAATATGATGTTAGGTGATGATTCGATGGTGCCTCACTGAGTCAGAGTTCCCGTTTAAACGTGTGGCAAAAATCAAATGTTGGCCAAACAACAAACAGCAGTCACAAATCAGCGGGCTAAGCCGGAGGTTGCCTGATTGAGGACTTTCAAGAAAATATTCAGCCTATACGTGGCAGAAATATTAATGAGTCATTTCTGCTCTCTGCCCAGCTATTTCCACGCTGAGTAATGTTTCGACAAAACCTTAAGTGAAGAGCCCTGTTATTTACTCACATATCATCCATGAATGTTGAAGCATATGATTCAGGGAGGAAAAATAACCTTACTTCTCAGATATTAGACTGGCGTATTCGAAATACGATTAGGCAGACTGCAGTTTCGTTATAATCATTCTTTTTTATTATAAATTTTAATTATTCTTTTATAACAGGTTTCATGCAGCAAATGCGGCAGAGAATTTCGGTCTGACTGTCAGGTACCTGATGCAGCAGTTCGATACTTCCAGCCGGTCAGACTGGCTGAGGCATCGACTCAGTGGTCACCGCCACGTCATGCAGAAAACAGCACTGAATCGATGAAGCCTCTTGTTCTATCACCCAGAGCATCGAACCTGATTTCTGGCTATTCAGATGGAAGCACGATTGATGTGAAGGAATTGGAAGCAATGATCGAACGCAGCAGCTCAGCTAGGGTAAAACAGACAGAATACCTACCACAACCGTAGCATTTCAAGCAGTTGTGTTCATGTTTCCTGCTGCATTACGAACTTTTTTAACTTTTCATAATTTCATAACTTGAATGAACAAACTTCTAAGTGGTTCATATTTTCTATCGGGTTCTCGCGTTCACTGTTGAATGTTTGATGAGTTGCTTGTCACTCACTTCAGGGATTTGCTGCAATATGTGATAGTATCACTATTAGTACCACCACAATTACGGCCAGTACTTTCTGAACGGGAGTACACATTAGGAAACTATCGGATGAGTCGAGATGAGAGCTTTACCGAACCAAACTTCTACAGATCTGTGTTTGC